CCTGACGCACCTTGCACAAGCGGCCAGCAGATGGCAGTCACTGCCGGTGTTTCAGTGCTGATGTGTGTGTGTCCGTGTTTATGGGCTCGGCTCTTTGGATTGACACTCTGCATAGTAAAGTGTATTAGGAGTGCCTAATGCACTTTACTACCTCGCCTGGTATACAGGCGGTCGTGGGTTCGAGGCCAGCCCTGATGCCTGCCGTATATTTGTAGTTTGCGTCTCTCTCCCCGTGGACGCGTGGATTTTTCTCCAGATCCTCCGGGGTTTTCCCTCCACATTTAGACACATGCGCTTCGAGTATTTGGCTGCTATAAATTTCCACATGATAAGCCATTTCATTGGACTATCATTTGTCGCCAGGTCGCTTCTGAAAAAAAGAGCTAGATAGCTCAGTGGGCCTGACCTGGTAAAATAAAATATAGCTTAGTTTGTTATCGTTGTGATGCCGCTGTTAGGACCGTCAGGCGCAGTGCAATTCATTGATTCATCCAAGAAAGCCTAATCGAGTCAGGCGATTCATTGTCAGGAGGGTCTTGCTGCATTGGGATGGCATTCACCAATGCCAGCCGTTAGTGTTTTTGGCTTCCCACGGGATGCAAACGAGAGTACCGGGAGACAGCTCGCCACACATACGAGGGTTATGACATTCACCCGTCTGCTATACAGACGAGTTCACGAACCTGCTCGCCGTGCTGCCATCTCCTGACCACCCTCGTAGCCCAGCGGGGCGAGGGAGCTTTCTTAATCTGTGCGTAATCAGCAAACATCGTCTCCATGGAGCCGGGTCACATACGAACGCCTCGGCGTTATTATGTCAAGACTCCTCTATAGGACCATCATGCTGCACTGAGACTTTGGTCAATTCTTCAGCTGATATAATTCCTGGTAAAGGCCGATTCAGCCACATCGGTTGCCGAACGTAATAGGTACCTCACAAACAGACCTTTCCACGTGCATGCATTATATCGCGTCGCTAGATCTGTTTGATTTATTTCAATGTTTGCGACGATTAGATTGAAGAATGGAATCTTTGTTTTCATGCTGGTGGATTTAGCGGCCTCTAGCGGTTGCATGACCTTCGCAAGTTCACAAGAACAGGGACCATGGCAGTAGTAATAGTAGTAGCCGTAGAAGGGTGACGAGAAGGCGATTGACTTCCAGTGTCCGAGTGACTGCACGGAGTGAATCGGCGATTATCACGGTTGGCTACGTACGGTGCAAAAGAAGTTCAAGGTACATACGTGCATACGGCTGCGGCCGATTTTGTGCTCGGGCGGAAAATAACCACAACAAAATAATCAATATACATTTTAGAATCCCTTCCACAGAGGTGGTTGCAATGCTCTGCAAGAGAGTTCCGAATGGACTCTTCATCCTCGTTCCATGACGCCGAGAGCGCGATTCAAATGGGTCCTCGAGTGTAGAGAGACAGAGCTCAAGGTATGCGTCCTCAATTACATTACAGTTTCTTCACGAATGTTTTCGATATTCTATTATATTCTGGCGAATGGATGTCAATAAGTTTAGGAGCTAAATGTCAGCGTCGAGGTCTGCTGCTGGCCACGACGAGAGGGCTTCAGCAGAGAGAGACTTCGTGTGGTGCTGCTGCTCCTCCTCCTCCGTTGAAGGAGGTTGAATGCCCACTATTGCACGACTACGGTTTGTCGTTAATGCATCTCTATGTGTCGCAACGTGTCTCTATGTATCTCTATGCATCTCTATGAGTCTCTATGTGTATCTATGTGTCTTTATGTATTTACATGTCGCTCTATATCTCGATGTGTCTCTACGTGTCTTTATGTATCTCTATGAGTCTCTATGTGTCTCTATATATCTCTATGTGTCTATGTGTCTACTATATGGTCCATTGTTTGAGTTTCATGGCCTGCTGTAACTTGTCTTCAATGTGTCTCTATGGGCCTCTATGTGTCTCTGTGGCTCGCATCTTGAATTTCCCATTGACAACATTGAGGGGGTGTCATTTGGCAGAGCGCTCGCTCGCTCGCTCGCCCACAAAGCAGAGGCGCAGGGAGCGGAGCCTCTGAGCGCACGCAGTTGGTGCCTTGTGCGCACAGGCACTGAATTATACAATAGAGGATAATTATCGCTAAACAAATAACGCGCATGGCTATTACTGTAATGCAATAATGAGAATTGCGCTTAATTGTTGTTTTAATGTTCATGAGCAGTAGTTAGTTTATCGCCCGTATGTGCGTGTGTGTGTGTAGGTTTGCCTCTGTGTGTGCCTGTGTGTGTATGTGCCTGTGTGGGGAGCGGCAGTATAGCGGTTAGCGCGCTGTGCTACGAACCTACCGGCACGAGTTCGATTACCACTCACGGTGAACACCAGTGACGATGATCTTAACCCGTCCTGGACCTGGTGCGGTGTGTAAACATCACCACTAGGGAGACAAATGTGACCGGGCGTGGTGCTGGCCTCCCCAGCATCTGTGTGCCGTTCCGGCCTTCATAGTTCCTCGCTATCAGCACTTGCCCCAACAGTCTTGTAAGGCTATAAGGGCGATCTCCTTTGTCTCAGGTTTTTTTAGATGTATGTGTTTGAATATTTTCTTGTGTGCGTGTGTCAGTGCGTGTGTGCTCGCAGATTCTTGAAAGATGTGGACACAGCTCCATCAGCGAGCTCCTTCGGCAGGCGAGGCTGCGTTGCCTTCCGCATGCCCAGCCACCGCATGCCCAAGCAGCTTCTGTTTGGTAGGATAGAGTGGGCTGAACGGGCGCGGTACGGGCTGGAGAAGAGATGGGCAGATGCGGTACGGGAGAATGTGGAGCTGAGTGGACTTGCCGATGACCGGTACCAGCGGTGTCAAGATCGGCCTCTGTGGTGGAGGGTCGTGAAGGACGCTACTGGCAGCTGGAGGCAGTCGCCCTCCAATAACAACGAGCGGAGCAACGGGGAACAAAAACGCATCAAGTTGCCACAGTGGGGGGCACGGGTGATGCATCTGCTAATAATTTCACTCAGTCAACTTAAACCACCTGGGATTGTCCCGTGACCTGTCAGCGAGCCTTGGACATTTCACATGGCCTCAAGGTGCACCTACCCTGGCACAAGCGCTGTGGTGACGTCACCGCCACTTGTTGTGCTTGTGTGAAGACACTCAACCCAGATCCCACGCACCTCTTCCCACATGATTACTCTCACACTGACCAGAACAATACTTGAGACTCCGAACCAAACGTGGATGATGCTGATTACATGATTAATAGATCATAATGATGATGATGCTGATAATTGTGGTTGAATTACACGCTGAGATCCTGGGTTCAATTCCGGGTTTTACCTCCTCCGTAATTAAGCTTGGTCACCAATCACTGCACAGGTGAACATTTGGCTCTGCACTTAATTGCCTAAATTCAAGCTGTAAAACAATTCTAGAATGTCGATTCGACTGTCATTCATCAATTGAAGAGCTAGCTCTGTGACACACGCTTCCGCAGGGTGGAAACGCTTCTCTCATGCGGGGGGGTGTGCACGCTCGTTCTGCGAGGGTTCCGAATGGATCGTTCGTCTCATCAGGCGCCGTGTGTGTGCGAGTTGGACTTCCTTCGCGCCGTACGTGGCCAACCGTGCTCATCGGAGGTGCAGGAAATCGGAGGTGCGACGTCGGTAGCACAACCTGGGACACGATGTTGGAAAATTACAAATTGGCGAAGTAAGCAATTGTGTGGGCTATTTGACTTAATAATCGATTGACGGAAGTACCTTAGTTGACGAGAACTGAATTCATACTTTATAATGATAACGATTGAATTAGCAGATGATGATTAATCGCCAGTGATGATGGCAATGAGGATGATGATGGTCATTGCGATGAAGTCCATCAGTGGATCGTAACTGTATTATCAGCAGGCTATAATGACAATGATAATTACCGGCACGCGTGAGATGCGCACACATACACACACCGCCACGTGACTCCCACGCACAAAGACACAAACGTAACACGCATACCCATTGAACAACTACAAAGATCCCCCGTGTAGCCTGTAACAGACTGTTGGGGCAAGTGCTGTTAGCGAGCACCTATGAAGGCCGGCACGGCACACGAGGGTGTGGGTGGCCAGCACCACACCCGGCCGCCTTTGTCTCCCTAATGGCCATGTTTACACACCGTACTAGGTACTCATTTGAGGTTGAGCCGACCTGGGGGAGGCCCAGGACCGGTGCAAATAATCGTCGCTGGTGTTGGCCGTGAGCGGGAATCGAACTCAGGTCTCGAGGTTCATATCGCAGCGCGCTCACCGCTACACGCACACCACAGTCAACACACATACGCACTGAACATACACACGCACGCTAATCACACACGATAGTTATTGCTCTTAAGATCATCGAGGTGGTGCTCATGTCATATTTACAGCCCCAAGCCAAGGGTGGACAATCCACATTCCTTTGGCGGGGATTAGTATGTCCATCAACAACGTTGATTCTCTTTGTATCGGTCCGGACAGGATGATGGTGCTAAGTCGACCCTCCACCCCCGAATCGGGATGTGAACTCGCAAACCTTCCGATCGCGAGGCGTTCGCTCTGGAGCCGCTGAGACGCGCGGTCGATTTGTCCACGCGAACTCCACTCCCTTACACGCAATCACGCACCACGCACGCAGGCAGAGATGGAACAGCACTGCACAAATCCTCATCGATAGGTCTTCTTCGACAGACTCGCGTGCCAATGCCGGAGGTAGAGAATTGAGGCGGAGGTCTAGTGGCGAGAGACAACGGGTGATGTGATGATGATGGTGGTGGTGGGGGAGGGGTAAGGGCTGTATATTGCATATATTCCCCGCTGAACAACGAGGTGGTGAGAATAATACGATTATTATTGGCTGCAAAAGTCCATTAAGAGTGAGCAAAAATTGGGGGTGGGTGGTGGGGAGGGAGACTGCTGGGAGGGTGAAGGTGCAGCATGGGGGGAGGGGAGGGGCGGGAGGAGGTGGGTGGAGTTGGCAGGGGAGGGTTGAGGGATTACATTATAAAGCCAGAGAGCGAGCTGATGAATTTGACTCAAGAATCGGGACGCGGCGTGAGCGCGAGAGGAGAGCGAGCGAGCGAGGCAGGGAGCGAGCAACCGGGCAGGAGGGGCAGGAAGCAGCTCACACAGCAGCAGCAGCAGCGGGCAGCAGCAGCAGCAGGCAGCAGCAGCATCGTCTGTCTCTGTGAGTACCAAACGACGAAGCACCTCGGTCCTCACCCGGCTGCAGCTCACAGTTACTCGGCAGAGTTCTCACAACTTCCAACCAACCCCTCGCCACTCGGATCGCGAGCGGGGACTTCTCTGCGGCGTTGTTTAAAGTGCCCCGTGGCCACGGCTTTATGAATTATCTTCGTCTGCGTCGTCTTCATCGTTGCGGGCTTCGCTTATCTCTGTCGGAAGTCGGCTGTATACATTAGGATCGTTCCCCTATCATCGCAGATAGCGGCGGCGAGCCGGTAATTGAATTGAGTGAGCGCCGTGCGGTTGTGGAGGTGGGGGGCGTGGGGGAGTCGTGGGGGGGTGTGGTTGTCGCGAGGGAATGGGGGGCAGGGGGAGAGGAGAGTTGCTTTCCACGTTGCTGTGGCCAGGCAGGGGTATCCGGTTGATGTCCAGGCACACGCAGAGCCCACCTCGCGGGGAGATGTTTAGTTGGGCGCAGCACTCGCAGGGGAACGCGCCCGGTCTCGGCAGATCTCGCAAAGCTAAGCGGGGCTGAGCCTGCGTAAAGTTTTGATGGGAGACCGCCATGCATAACGGGTTGTTATCGGATACTTCGGGGCTACGTGGTTTGGTAGCAGACCGCAAGTACAGCCTCATGGTTGGTTGTGCTGCGTTTTCTATGCTCCGCGCCATCACCAACTGGTCAGAGTGGTGAAGTATGGTCAAATAACCCCCCACCCCACTTCACGACCCGGACCAGCGTCGAGAGTCGTGTGCTGACTTGAGAGTTGGTGAGCTGAGTGGTGAGTTTCGTATTGTGTTGGTGAGCTGAGTGGTGAGTTTTGTATTGTGTTGGTGAGCTGAGTGGTGAGTTTTGTATTGTGTTGGTGAGCTGAGTGGTGAGTTTTGTGTTGTTGGTGAGCTGAGTGGTGAGTTTTGTATTGTGTTTGTGAGCTGAGTGGTGAGTTTTGTATTGTGTTGGTGAGCTGAGTGGTGAGTTTTGTATTGTGTTGTTGAGCTGAGTGGTGAGTTTTGTATTGTGTTGGTGAGCTGAGTGGTGAGTTTAGTATTGTGTTGGTGAGCTGAGTGGTGAGTTTTGTATTGTGTTGGTGAGCTGAGTGGTGAGTTTAGTATTGTGTTGGTGAATTGAGTGGTGAGTTTTGAATTGTGTTGGTGAGCTGAGTGGTGAGTTTAGTGTTGTGTTGGTGAGCTGAGTGGTGAGTTTAGTATTGTGTTGGTGAGCTGAGTGGTGAGTTTTGTATTGTGTTGGTGAGCTGAGTGGTGAGTTTAGTATTGTGTTGGTGAGCTGAGTGGTGAGTTTTGTGTTGTGTTGGTGAGCTGAGTGGTGAGTTGTGTGTTGTTGGTGAGCTGAGTGGTGAGTTTGTTATTGTGTTGGTGAGCTGAGTGGTGAGTTTTGTATTGTGTTGGTGAGCTGAGTGGTGAGTTTTGTATTGTGTTGGTGAGCTGAGTGGTGAGTTTAGTATTGTGTTGGTGAGCTGAGTGGTGAGTTTTGTGTTGTGTTGGTGAGCTGAGTGGTGAGTTTTGTGTTGTTGGTGAGCTGAGTGGTGAGTTTGTTATTGTGTTGGTGAGCTGAGTGGTGAGTTTTGTATTGTGTTGGTGAGCTGAGTGGTGAGTTTTGTATTGTGTTGTTGAGCTGAGTGGTGAGTTTTGTATTGTGTTGGTGAGCTGAGTGGCGAGTTTAGTATTGTGTTGGTGAGCTGAGTGGTGAGTTTTGTATTGTGTTGGTGAGCTGAGTGGTGAGTTTAGTATTGTGTTGGTGAGCTGAGTGGTGAGTTTTGAATTGTGTTGGTGAGCTGAGTGGTGAGTTTAGTGTTGTGTTGGTGAACTGAGTAGTGAGTTTAGTATTGTGTTGGTGAGCTGAGTGGTGAGTTTTGTATTGTGTTGGTGAGCTGAGTGGTGAGTTTAGTATTGTGTTGGTGAGCTGAGTGGTGAGTTTTGTGTTGTGTTGGTGAGCTGAGTGGTGAGTTTTGTGTTGTGTTGGTGAGCTGAGTGGTGAGTTTTGTATTGTGTTGGTGAGCTAAGTGGTGAGTTTTGTATTGTGTAGGTGAGCTGAGTGGTGAGTTTTGTATTGTGTTGGTGAGCTGAGTGGTGAGTTTTGTATTGTGTTGGTGAGCTGAGTGGTGAGCTAGTTTAAGGGATTTTGTAGTTTTCGTCAGGACGTGAGCAGAGTCTGAAGACGAAGAGACAAGGGGCCAGGTAGGCGGACGAATCGACGACACTTAGACGGACCAACATGAGGACGGACACACCATGGACCGGATAGGACAAACACGCAGATGGAAGGACACACGGCCAGGCAGATGGACACGCAGACACATAAGTACGTAATATGTACAGGGTATATATGCGTGTATGTTGAACTTCTTCCACGCTGTACCTATCTCCCGGGAATAGCAGCAGGTCACCTGGCGGCTTCCTTTAAAGCGAACGGCTCCTATCTTGTCGCTACACACCTGAGCCGTGTTACACCAGGTTGTCCGAAACGAGTGTAAAGACTTCTATTTAATGACAGATTAAATAAAATAAAAAACAGACGTCAGAGTAACGTTCGCGTGTGCCACGTTGCACTGCGGCGTGACCTACCTGAATTTTGAAATGCTTCTATAACGAAGTTTCACTCTCGTGTGTAACACACAACGTAACAGGCAGTAGTTATTACAACTTACGAGCCCCTTTACCAATCCACTGCTGGATGACGGCCTGCCTGCCTGAGCTGTGTGTCAGTCGCACGCAGGAAATGCGTGACCGTGCTTCACCACGCTCGTCAGTGCGGGCAGGCGAAGGGGGCCCGGTGGGGTGGTGGGAACTGGGTGGTGGAGGGGAGGACAAGACCGGTTCTGACATCACTCGCCACTGATGTTAGCCGGGGCGCAGAATCAAACTCGACGCCAAGGTAGCGAGATGTTCACTACCTCGCCTGGTATACAGGAGGTCGTGTGTTCAAACCCGATCCTTGCGCCTGCTGCTGTATATTTGGAGTTTGCGGTGTCTCTCTCCCCGTGGTGAGATGTTAACTACCTCGCCTGGTATACAGGAGGTCGTCGATTCGATCCCGACCCTGACGCCTGCTGCTGTATATTTGGAATTTGCGGCGTCTCTCTCCCCGTGGTGAGATGTTAACTACCTCGCCTGGTCTACAGGAGGTCGTGGGTTCGATCACGACCCTTACACCTGCTGCTGTATATTTGGAGTTTGCGTCTCTCTCCCCGTGGTCGCGTGGATTTTTCTCCGGGTCCTCCCGTTTTCCCCTCTAGATTTTGAAAAATACGTTTCGAATATTTGGCTGCTATAGATGTCCACGTGATAAGCCACTTAATTTGGCTACCATTTATGGCCAGGTCGCTACTGAAGAGCGCTATATATAGCTCATTGCACCTTAGCTGGTAAAATAAAATATATATAGTTTCCTAGTTTCATCGTTTACAAACTCGGGTCACCAAAGTTGATAGCGAGCGCGTTCAGTGACGGCTCATCGCGGCGCTACCGCTCCACACAAGGTTATCCCTTGGGCCGAGTCGGATCTAGGGAAGTCGGCAGCAGGGTTGAGCGTGGCCAACACCCGTGGATGAAGTACGGTCGAGCACCGGACGATCTTTGCTGTCGCTGTTGTGATTGTGTTGTGGAGCAGGTGCGGGATTTTGCCGCGTGCGGTGTAAGGGAAACGCGCTTCGGTTCCCAGGTCCCGAGGTTTTCCCTGCCGACATCGATTGACGATCAGCAAACCGCCAACTCAAACTGTGCGATTCCCCCAAGATGACCGAAGTAATTTTCACATCGATTGAGCCAGCAACGTGAGAGTCCTCGACTTTTAGCATTGCCTCGGGTGATCATTGTTGAGCGTGGAAGTCTCTCTGCTGAAATATTCCTGCGTTCTCCGTCGAGTAGCAGCTTTATCTCCAAATAAGTCTCCGTTTTATACAACTTGCTTCTTGCTATTGTTGCTGTTGTTGCTGTTGTAGACAGGGTTGTTGCTTTTCTAAATTGGTTGTTTGTGTTGTACCCTACTTCTATGGGGGTTCACAAGGTTAGGGTTACTCATGAAAGTTGTCAATTTGACTTGCAAAGAAATGCGTTCGCAAACGAGACCGGTAGAACACACAGAAACAAAGATCCCCCCGGGTAGTCGGATCCAGGCTGTTGGGGCAAATGCTGTTAGCGACCACCCAATGCAGGCCGGCACGACACATGAGCTGGTTGAGTGACCATAACGCCACGCCCAGCCGCCTTTGTCTCCCAATACTGATCCTTACACATCGCACCTGGTGCTTATTTTAAGGCCGAGTTCAGCTTTGGGACTAAACTAAACTATTTCTATTTTAACAGGTAAGGCCCACTGGGCTATATAGCTCCTTTCAGCAGTGACCTGGTGTGTGCACACACAGAGACAGTGAAATGCTCTGAGACGATTCGCGTTGTATCCAATGTCTAATTCGATTTCGTCGAAGCAATACTCAATTTAGTTATCGGGTTTAACAGCCACGTCACGGCCATCGCGTTGGATTGTGTGGGTTCCCTCGAACAATGTGTCTAAACAAGGAAAAGTGAACATAGTAAAACTATATTTCAAGGAAAGTCTGACCGAGTCTCAAGAATCATTTGAAGGCGGTAAAATATTATTAAACTTTTTTTTTTTACCAGGTGAAGCCAACTGAGCTATGTGGCTCTTTTCCAGAAGCGACCTGACCCCAAATAATAGCTCAACCACGTGGCTTATTGCTTGGAAATGTATCGCAGCCAAATCCTCTAAACGCATGATGTTGATTCTAAATGTGGAGGTAATTAACTGGAGGACCCGGGAAAAATCCACGTGGCCACGGGGAGAGAGGCACGCAAACTCCAAATATACAGCAGCAGCAGGCGTCAGGGTCGAGATTGAACCCACGACCTCCTGTATACCAGGCGAGGTAGTTAGCATCTCCTAGCCACCGTGATTATGATGAGAGAGAGAGACACACAAACTCCAAATATACAGCAGCAGGCGTCAGGGTCGGGATTGAACCCACGGCCTCCTGTATACCAGGCGTGGTAGTTAACATCTCGCCACCGGTATTCCACCACATTGGTCTATTTGGCCAATTCCCAAACTCCGTGGTTGGTTTCACGTGGAAGGATAACGCGTGGGGAAAAACCCCACCATACGTATACGGAGCACACTCCTAACATCGCACAGATAGATCTAAGAATCAATGTCCGCACCGCTATCACGTGTTCGCAACGCATCCCAAGCCTTACACCACCTGGTCATTCTCATGCAGTTGCCCGTCAAGGGACGAAAGGGTCTCAACACCTGCTTGGCTTCTGGTGTACGGTGAGGTTGGGCACACTCGGTGTGGTTTAGTCGCAGGCAAAATCGCTGCTTGAGCGAGGGTCCCGCGTGACGACGCTCCCGAGTCCAGCGCCACGGGGTTGGTCCACGAGTGTCGGACTCGACGACTTCTTGCTTGCAGCGCCTGGCGTTGAGGAGTGCGAGTGAATGGTGCTGTTGGTTCGTGAATGATGTTGTTGATGAGTGGATGATGATGATGATGATGTTCGTGATTGAGTGAGTGAGTGGAGTGAGTGAGTGAGTTAGTGGAGTGAGTGAGTGAGTGGAGTGAGTGAGTTAGTGAGTGGAGTGAGTGAGTGAGTGGAGTGAGTGAGTGATGCTGTTGATGAGTGAATGGTGCTGTTGGTTCGTGAATGATGTTGTTGATGAGTGGATGATGATGATGATGATGGTGCTGTTCGTGAGTGAGTGAATGATGATGCTGTTGATGAGTGAATGGTGCTGTTGGTTTGTGAATGATGTTGTTGAAGAGTGGATGATGATGATGCTGCTGTTCGTGAGTGAGTGAATGGTGATGTGGTTGATGAGTGAATGGTGTTGTTGATTATTGAATTATGCTGTTAGCGAGTGAGTGAATGATGTTGTTGGTGAGTGAGTGGATGGTGCTGTTGGTGAGTGAAAGATGATGTTGTCGTTGGTGAGTGAATGATGAATCTGTTGGTATCTTATCCCGCTCCGTCCCTCCTGCAGGCAGTCGAGGCTGAGCGCGCCCTGTCGCGATGTTTTACTACCACGTGCCTCAACAACTGGACAGCGACTGCTATGAGGCCAATACATGTGAGTAGCGCGCCGCGTGTGTGTGTGTGTGTGTCAAATGCAGTGTTTGTGTGTGTGTATCAGCTGTTGTAAAATGAATATCGACATGAGTGTTTAGTTTATGTGACGTCTTGAACGGATGACGATCCCGTTTGGCCAATTTCCCGGCTATTTTGCACTGGAGATCCGTGGGGCAGCCTGAACGCAGCTACAAAAGCAACAATACACCAACATTGTAGAGAACGAGTACACAGGGTCCTTGAGGAATATTGCACAACGAACGAGGTGTACACACACACACACGTCTGCGTTCGTATACAACTGATACAATTTCTAGTCCAGACATGATACACGTTTCCGCGAAAAATGTTCAACACATTAGTCGCGGAGTTAGGAGGAATATTTGAAGTTATTGGTTTTGGGGCGGTATTAAAAAAAAAACATTAAACACAATAAATAAGAATTGAAAGTTACAATTTTATTCTTGAGCATGGCTGCAGTATGTTCAGGATATAAATGTCGAGGTCTGCTGCTGGCCACGACGAGAGGGCTTCAGCACAAAGAGAGAGTTCGTGTCGTTCCGCTATAATCCTCCTCCGTTGAAGAAGCGCAGACCACAGTGGATTCATACTCTTTGGTTCTATTCGGTAAAGTCACGTAGGTAAAAAAATAAAACAACAAAAATCACGACGTTTCGGCCACAACACAAGTGGCCTTCATCAGGTGAAGGGACCAGACTGTCTCGAGGACAGCGCTGGAGTGAACACAGCCGAGCTCAGTGGATTCACTGTGCGTGGTCCATAGTTTTGGTTGCACGGCCACATGAGCGTTGTACCAACGTGCGGCACACCACGGGAAGTGGAGTCGAGTCGGTGAAGCGTTCAATGGGAAGGGGAACGGGAACGGGAATGCAAGGGAAGTAAGAGGAAAATGATGGATAAGGAAAGAAGGAGGCTGCATCTGCGCCTCTACGCTTCTGCATGGAGCGGCGTTTGTGCTTCGTAGTGTTACAATTATTGTGGATATACATTATAGACTCCACGCCGTGCCCTCGTGCATGTAATGCACATTAAATACTGCATTACAGTATTCCGGTGTGTTTGACGTACACTTTAAACTACGTAACGGTATTGTGTATACTGCGTTTAACTGCAACATCGCTACTAGAGACGCAAAGGCGGCGGGGTGCCGGCCAGCCACCCCCTCGTGTGCCGTGCCAACCTTCATAGGGTCCTCACTGACAGCGATTTTCCCAACAGTTTGTTAAGGCTACACGGGGTACCTTTGTCTTTGTGTGTCTGTGCGCGCGCGCCACGCAGATGGTTCGCCTTAGGGTTGATTATCGCACACACCCACACGTGCACTCGCTCTGGTACGCGCACTTCGATGTACACAGTCACTCGTCTTAAAACAAATACAAGGCAACGATACCCTGTGTAGCGTGAAGAGACCTAATGAAGGGCGGCACGGCACACGAGGGGGTGGGTGACCACTAACCCCGCCCGGCCGCCTTTGTCTCATTTGAGGCTGAGTCGACCTAGGGGAGGCTCAGGACCGGTTCGGAAAAATCGTCACCGGTGTTGGCCGTGAGCGGGGAACGAATCCGAGTCGCCAGTTTCGTAGCGCAGCGCACACGCGCACGTGCACGCGCACACACGCACGTGCACACGCACACACGCACGTGCACGCGCACACACGCACGTGCACGCGCACACACGTGCACGCGCGCTCTGCGCAGGGAGGCTTTATCCGCGTCCATTAGGCAGGCGGTGCGCGCCAAGTCCTAGGAGAGACGCCAACTCCCAGCAGGCTGGAGTCGTCACGACACCACCCATCACTCGCAGCAGTAGCAGCAGCATCCTCGTCGGTGAAGCCTCGCGCACTTTCAAGGGGCTATAGTCCTGAGCCCTTTTGTCAATCCACTGCTGGATGATGGCCTCCCCACGCCTTGTCGGTCACGCAGGACGCGGGGGGGGGGGGGATTGTTTGGCCATACTTCACCAGGGTGGTCTGTGCAGGCTGGCGAAGTGGGTTGATTCAAAGGGAGGGCCAGGACTGGTTCAGGTATCACTCGCCAGCGATGTTAGCCACGGGCGGAAATCGAACTCGGGTTATCTCATGAATTGCGCTAACCCACTGTGCCAATCGTATATAAAACAACAACCATAACAACAGCGTATGTATGTATGTATGTTGAACTTCTTCCGCACCGTACGTAGCCAACCGTGCTAATTATCCAAGCAATTTGTCACTCTCATATACAAATGGGTTTATGAAGCGAGGGAGCCTCGGACCGATTCCGATATCACTCGCCGCTGATGTTGGCGATAGCCAGGAATCGAACTGGGACCGCAGCGTGCTACCCACTGCGTCACCGCTCCCCTCGCTTTATGCGGTAGATGCGTTGCAAAAAAGAGTGCAGGAAGTGAAACTGCACGGGACAGATGCCTGTCGAGCAGCGCGCACAGTACACACACAGTACACACACAATGTACACACAGTACACAAACAGTAAAGTACACACAGTACACACACCGTGCATACACACACTGTGCACACAGTACATATACACACCATATACACACCGTACACACACAGTACACGCACACAGTACACGCACACTCTCGTCCCACGTCTGACCGCATAGCCGCATGCGAGTGACGTTAGACCACACAAGAGACAATTTTTGGTAGAAATCGTTTGGCCGCATCTACAGCGCGAAATCGCACAAACCGAGCCCGCGTAGAGCGAGGGGAACCTGTACAGTCCTTGTCAATTATATACATTCTGTATGTACACACACACACCGTGTGAGGTTTTGATATAGCATTTAAATGTTAATGTAGTCTCGATGTAATGAAAATATATGCATAATTGTTATTTTCCAAGGCGATACATTTCGGTCTTATTTTGCATAATGAAATAGATGTTGTTGTTGATGTTGTTGTTGTGAAGACCGAATACAGAAAATAAAATTAGGCAAAAGACACATTTGTAAAAGATACCCAATTATCGCAACCAAAAAACTTGCAGGACGGTGAAAACATCATAATAATCATAATTATCATCATCATAAAGATGGTCCCATTCATTACAATACAAGTAACATATTTATATCTTCTTAGAAGATAGACCACGTAACAGGTGGTGGGGCTTACGTAAGTGAACGCAACATTATTTTGGATTATTTTCTTTGAACCTATCTACGTGACTTTACCGAAAGGCCCAAGAATATGAACGTAACATCACAATTAATATGCAGACAATAGTCAATGTTACAACAACAACAACAAAAAAACCAAGACAAACCCAGGACCGGTTTCGACGTTTCTTAAGTATCATCAGCAACATGCGTGTCCTGTGAAACAGATGCTAATGGCTGGCAGGTGTTATCAGGCAAAGCGCCTCTTTAATTATTCATCATTACTGTGTGCAAGACGGAGGGGGGACAGTTGTGAAGTGGGTTCAGCCGGAACGTCGGCCAACACGCGGGTGTTCAGGCATTGTCCTCGTAGTAGAGACGATGTGTGGGTCAATCCACTGCTGGATGAGGGTCTCCTCCAAGCCGTGCCGGTCGTGAAGGGTGGTGGGGGAGTTGTTTGACCATACTTCACCACTCTGGTCACTGAAGGCGGGAGAGTATAAAGCAGCAATTTATTTTTTTCGCTCTATCCACAATGTCCACCCGCAACAGCCTATAACACCCGCTATATTCATGTCTAATTAAGTTTAGTCATTTGCTTGGTTTAGTAATTATGCAAACCGTTTTTCGATTACAAATGTAATATAGTGTTACTGTGAACGGGTAGCAGGTTTCATTCGCCTTCTATCGGCTTTAGCGTCACACTCCACGGGAGGAGAATTACTTGTTTCGATGATGATGGGAATGTTAGCATTGTAATTGTTTAGCACGAGACTTAAATCTCAAGCAATGCACACCTTTAGGCCGACGCTTGCCTCTCCGATTGAAACCCATCAACCGGCAGATCGTATTTTTTTCGGACCCATGTTGGAACCTTTTAAACAATATTTTTGTGCCTTTTGAGGATTGTCCGTTATGGCATCTCTCTAGAAAATAAGCACAACCTCGACCGTGTTTGTGCAACGTTTCATCTCCCGGGCCGTTCGAGGACACAGTTAAAGATTTACATCGGCTACTGGACTCATTGGCGACGTGATAACACCATAACAAACACCCCCACGAAGAAGACCATCGCTTTGTGACACTTGAGAGTTGTGTTTGCGAGCACCTATTGAAGTTGAAAGGCATTATTTGGAGGCAGTGTTACACAATAAACAACGGACTAAAAAACAATTATAAATATATGGTGACCTCCTTTGCCAGTACCAAAATATGAGAATAGGTTTCCTCCTCTAGTTCTGGCAACAAAACAGCCGTGTTAAGATGTTAAAACACCAAAGCTATCTCTGGTGTGGACCAATCAGTTTCAAAGACAATGCATATACTGTATTATCGGAATGTGTTCTTTGTTTGCATTCTGAGCACAAGTAGTGTGGTTAATGCAGACATGATTCCTTGTAAACGGTTTCAATTTGGTATTTTAACATCTTAACACAGCTGTTTTGTTGCCAGAAAAAAAGGGGTAAAACCTATTCTCACAATTAGAAATATAATCGGCAGCGTTTCTAGCAATTGCTCTTATTCACGGTGTATCTGCTATGAAAGACAATTGCCTTAAACGTCGCCTATTTAAGTTGTATCACGGACACTTATATGACCTTCATTGTGTTCCGAATGATGATAATATTAACAGCACCGAACCGGTTACTCACTTAATGCTGAGTCAACCTAGGAGAATCCCATGACATATGTAATGCCACTGGCGCTGTGTTGTATCATCGAATCCAGGAATTGAACCTAGGGATTTGAGTTTGTAGTTGGACGCGGGAAACACCGAGACGCACGAAAAAAAAGACAAAGATCTCCCGTATAGCCTTAGCAGACTGTTGGGGCAAGTGCTGTTAGCGAGCACCTATGAAGGCCAGAACGGCTGAGCCGA